CATCAACGACTGATCATCGTTGATCAACCACTTTCGTAAAATAGTTTTTGGATAACATCTTGTAAATAAGTTTCATAAAAGAAGTTCCAAATATTCTTCATAAGTTTGATTCTGTGTTTGGCAGCATTGCCAAGACCAATTTTGGATCCTTCTAGAAACTGAATGGGGGGAGGCCCATACAGTAAAGGATTAAAAGAGGGGTCTGCCTGATAGGGATTGATGAACATGGAGGGTGTTACAGGCATAGGGTCGTCTCTGTCGTCAGAGATGTAAGTTAGTGGTCTGGAGTTTATTAGCCTTTCAATATAGGAAAGAGCTGCCATCAAGGCATTAGGACTTTTGTAAGGCAGTCCTTTGAATAATCTTGCCAGTCTGTCTTTGATTAAGCGCATCATTCTTTCATAGAAACCTCCCCAGCAGGGAGCTCTAGAGGCATTAAAATGCCATTGGATACCTCTAAGTCTATTTTTGATTTGCATATGTTTTGCTTGTAAAATTAATGGCCATGCAGCTTTAAAGGTGGCTGCGTTGTCTGAAATCAACACAGAAGGCTGAACGTCCCTTTTGTTACAAAACGTTTCGTAAACGTCAATAAAGGATTTTAGAGTGAGATCCATTACTGGTTCTAAGTGAATAGCTCTAGTCATAGCACAAGAAAAGACACAAATGGAAAATTTGACCCTATTGGGGGTTCTGAAGGGTCCCACAAAATCAATACCAGTAGCAGCAAATGGGACAATACCATTGTATCTAAAGTCAGGAAGAGGGGCACAAGGAGGCATAAAAGGTTTGGCATCAAAACGCCTGCACCAAGTGCAATTTTCTCTTATGGTTTTTGCCAGGCATCTGGCTCCTTTCATCCAAAAGGTTTTCCCCATAAAGGTTAGAAGAGCATTAGGAGAGGCATGTCCTAAGTCTTCATGAAACGTTTTCATCAATGCTTTCACAAAGTTTAGGGGGTCATTTTTCTTAGGAGATGGTAGATAAATGAGGGCTGATCTTGCTAGGTTTCCCTTGTAAGACTTGAAAGTTTTGTCTCTTGCTTAACGGCTGACTGAGAGAATCAGACCAAGTCTTTCATTCCAAACCAAATCTGGTTTTCTTTCTACTATCTCTCCCATTTTTAGAGTATGCCATTCCTCAGGGGATTTGAGTCTTTGGACCACCCTGAAAGTTTCAACAATACCTTCATACAGTTTGCGAGGAGCAAGGTTGTTCATAAACCCTGTGCCCTTTTTGAAGAGTCCATCAGATTTGGAATGGAAGGGCTTTCCAACCTTTGATTTGTCTAGAGAGACTCCCTTCTTGACTCGTGCCCTATGTCTTAAAAACTCTTTAATCTTTAACCAGGTTGTGGTTCTGATGATGGTTCTGCTCCAATCATCTGAAATTTTGGTTTACATTTTTTCAAGTGTAAGTTCAATCTTGTCAGAAACTACTGGTTTGACTCTAGCTGCAGAAATTCCTATCTCGATGGTTTGTTTTGGCCATTCTGATGGATGAGGTAACCATTTAGGTTCTTTCCACCATATTGAATCAGGTGTTAGATCTTCAAGTTTGACCCCTTTAGAAGCTAAATCAGCTGGATTGTCAATGCCTGGAGTATGCCTCCATCTGGAGGGCAGGGATCCCCCCAGGATAGTTTCAATTCTGGTTCTAATATATGGTACAGATCGGATTTTTCCTGATTTAATCCATTGTAAAACTACTTCTGAGTCAGTCCAAAAATGGACACAGTTCATCTTGATGTCCATGGACTTCATAGTTTCCAGAACACATCTCAGTCCCAAGCAGGCTGCTGACAGTTCAAGTCTGTTCACTCAAAATTTCTCATTTGATTCTCCTTCACAGGTTTCCCTTTGCTTGGAAGGGATAAGTTTGGATTTTCCCCTAATGAGGGTGACTTGATCTCCACAGACTAAATAAATTGCTGCACCGAGAGCTAAACCACTGGCGTCAGTGAATACATGCAGTTCTCTTTTCAGAGTAGGATCCATTGGAGGATGTCTTTCAATTCTAATTTGATTTAGTTTTGCTGCTGACTCAGCTATGGCCTTCCATTTTTGTGTTTCAGCCAAAGATAGTTTAGAATCCCAGGCAGCTTTGGGATGTTGATCATTAAAGGTCTGAAATAGTAGTTTGGCTAAGGTAACAAAGGGAGTTGCCCATCCCATCAAGTCATATATTTGAGCAATGATTCCTGCTATTTGTCTTTTAGTGATTCTCTTGAGATTAACAAATTCAGTAACTTTGTCAGCACAAGATGAGAAGGTATCTGTCTCAGGACAATAGGACAGTCCCAAGAGTTTGTAGGCTTTCTGAGTTGACATATCTTCAACCTTTTCAGGGTGGGCTCTGAATTTATCCAATATGAAGCCTCCACTTTTGAGGATATATGTAACCTTGTCCAATTTAGTTTTGACTTCTTCAAAGGTTTGGCCAAAGACAACCACATCATCTACATAGGTATTTTCTTTGAGTTCCTGGAGCTCAATTTCAGTAAGAATGCCTTCTTGGTGAGCTTTTCCATAGAGAAATCTTATGCTGGCATTTAACACAAAAGGGGCGCAGCTTATGCCCCAAGGGAGCCTTGAAAATCTGAAGAAACGAGTTTTAATAGAGCCATCTTCCTGCAGTTCAGGCATTCTAATGATTAAGAGCCACTGGTCTTCTTCAGCTAGTTGAACTTGGAGAAAGGCCTTTTTTATGTCGGCCACTCCAAAGTATTTTGAACACCTTATTTTATTTATGATGTCAGGTATGACAGGTAAGATTAGGTCCTTGGTCAAGGAAATTGTTGGAAGAAGTCTTACCCTTGTCGGCGGCATTGCCTGCTATGACAACCCTAACAGGGGTTGTTTTACTCTCTGGTCTAGCTACTCCATGATGAGGAAGTTCGGTGTATGGAGTCCCCCTTTTATCAAGTTCCTCAAGAAAGGTGGGGGTAATGACTCCGTCCTTCTCCCAATCCCTTATTTGTTCTTTGTAAGCTTCGGCCAGCAGTCCTCCCTTTCTTAAGAGGTTGACAACAGACTTGATTCAGATTTCTCCTGTGATTAGGTTCTTACAGCAGTCTTGAGGGAATCTTACTGTTTTGGGTAAAGGAGCTATGACTCTACCTGTTTCACTTAGCTTTAGATTTGCAGTTCTTCTTTTGAATCTGCCTTGTCTTTGTCTTTCTCACCAAAGATATCAAATCTGTCCCGTACCAATTGATTGGTTATCTCCTGATTGAGCAAAGTATCTTCAAGATTCTCTTCTCTGACTTTGGCAGAAAAGGAAATTATTCTATGAGTTTTGAAGGGAGCTTTGACACTAAGAAAGCCCCTTGCTACTCCACCAAACATGGTGTCTTGAATGCAAAATTGGTCTGTTTTGTATAGTCTTCTGGTTCCAGAACCAGAAACGGTCATCATGTCAATTCCCCCAATAATGATATCCCACCAAATTGCTTCAGTTTCAGTAATCCGGGGGTCAGCTAGTAGAGCCTTTTGAGATGGAGTTTTCATCCAGGTAAGAATTTCTGGGTTGGACCCTGACCAGGCATGGTCTATGGGCACAACCAGGGCATAGGTAGCTAGGGGAAAACCCTTTCCACTTCTATTTCCAAGGGTGAGGTGAACAACTTTATTTGTTTCTAAACATTCTCCCATTTTGTTGACTCCTTGAATTATATAGTTGCAATCAGTTGCTCGGGGAGATAGCCCAAGTCTTTTAACACATTCCTCCGTGATAAGGGTAGTTTGTGCTCCAGTATCGAGTAGAGCAAAAGCTTTTTGTCCAGAAGGTATTACTTTTACTTCGACGGTTTCCAGGAATGAGTTTGACAAGGGATTAGTGGATACGTTCACTCTCACGGTTTTACGTCATTTAGGTTGAGAGTCATTTTGAGGATCAGTTTTAATATTTTTCATGGAGGGTTTGAGATCTCTCTCACTGAATTTTTGCCTGAGTTCGTCCAACTCCTTTAACAAGTTATCTTCAACCGGAGATTCTGGTTTGGAATTTGACTGAACATTATCAGTCTTAGTAAACAATCCCCCCGCTTGGGGACAGATAGAAGTGTGATGTTTTCCATTACACGTGATACACCTTCTTTTGTTTGGACATTTGCGTATGCTATGGTTGTCTCTGAGGCAACTGTAGCAGAGTCTCTTTTCCCATATGATTTTGTTCTTATTCTCAAGGGTGAGATCTTTGCAGAAGAGAGGGGAATGACCCTGATTGCAAAAAACGCATTTCCACGTTCTTTTCTCAAAAGTTATCCCATTTCTGGGAGTGAATTTAGATTGGTAGGGTTTAGAGTATTTGGAAGTATTGGGAGCTTTACGTTTTTGCTCCTTAGGTTCTGAGTAAGTTCTCTGCCTTTTGGGAGACTCTTCTTCCTTTTCAGGAGATTCTGATCTCTTTTGTTTCTGAATTTTTACTCTGGTTTTGTAAGGGGAGATGACTCTTGTGGAGATGGGTGCTTCTCTTTCAGCAAGATCCATTAACTGAATTCTCAGCCACCAGTATGTTCTTTCTGGGTTGGCTTCCCATTTTTGTTGTTCAAAATAAGAGGCTTTCGCCATCAGGTTATCTATCATCATATGGGCTGTTAGTCTGGCTTGTATAATGGGCCAAACTCTCATTTCCACTGATTTAGCGTCGGGTTCTACTTTGATAATTTTCCCAATAAGATTAGTAGCCAAATCCGCGTATTCAGCAGCCCCGGATAGGGACTCATCCCTTGGGGTTAGTTTTTCCAATTCTCTGTATAGCCTTTGGGCAGAAGAGGAGATCTTTCCATATTTGTTAAACAAGTACTTGACTAGAGCTATGTAGTCTTCTTCCTTTTGTCTTCCTTGAAACATTGAAGTTATGTATTTGGCTTCACCAGTCAGGGGAGATCTCAGAAGACTGATTCTTTTCTTGGGTTTAATTTGATAAGTGGGAGCCTCATGAATTGTTCTGAAGGTTTCCCAAATACTGTCAAGATTTTCATCTTGGTCGCAATCTCCGTCAAACCTGATAAAGGCGGGAGAGTCTCTTTTCTTTTTGTATCTTGAAATTACTTCCTTGGGGGAAGCTAAGGGATTGCCTGTTCCATAGGTTTTGAGGACCCTGTCCAGGGCAGGATTGGAGGGATCAAGCATCCCCTTTTGATTTTGGAAGAAGATTTGTTCAGATGGAGGGTCAGGAAAGACAACTCCTTTTATTTCTTTTACCGTAGGTCTTAAGTTAGATTTCCAGCCATTTTTCATGNTCAGGAAAGACAACTCCTTTTATTTCTTTTACCGTAGGTCTTAAGTTAGATTTCCAGCCATTTTTCATGTCTTCCCAAGAGGATATTTTAATGAGGCTGAGCTGGTCCGTTAGCTTTTTAACTTCCTAATTTTTGGAGGCTGACCAAGGATTGCCAGTAAGATTATTCAAGAAATTAAGGATTTCTAGTAGCTCAGGCTTAAACCTTTTGAGCTTTAACTGACTGTAATTGTCGTCAGAAATTTTGATGACCTTATTGAATTCCATGATTACTGAGCTTCATGAGCTCGGTTATTGGGTCTGGATTCTCCTGTCCAATGATGGAGGAGTTGTTTGAATTAGTATCTTCCTTGGAAAGAGGAGTTGGGGGCCTCCTCTGAGTATTTGGTGGTCTTCCAGGCTTTCTTTTAGATTTATTTGGTATGGTCAATGGAGGAGAAGCACCTGTCAACCTTAATTCTTGTGAATCTTGGTTTCCAAGAGGCTCAGAGGGGACCAAATTTGGTTCATTTTCTGGGTTGGGCCCCCCAGGATTTTGGGTAGTGGGCTGCCTGGTAACAGGCCTCTCAGTTCTCATTTTCACATTGGATAGAGAATTGGAAGTAGGAAAAGATTTTTTAACAGTTCACAGAAAAATTTTCAGAAATATTTCCCAAGACACACGTTTCTTCTTTTAAATTAGTTTCAAGATGCAAGAAAAGAGTCAAAGTTTGTATACTCACAATACTCACAAGAAAAATATTGTTCTTACCAAACATTGGTTTTACTGAGACAAGAAAAGGTCAAACAATAGAAGCTTTCTTACCACAGAGAGAGATTTTCTGGACACTTAGTTAGATTTTGTACACAAAAAACTCAAGGAGTTTTTTAGAAGTTTGTTCAAAGATTTCTTTTCTTCACGGAGTATTTAAATATATATATTCACAGATATCAACAGAAGATCAGTTGTTTTTAGGCAGTGGAAGACTTTTTCAAGAGAAGATTGTAAGAATGTAAGGTTCAAAGTTTTTAAACCTTTTGAAGTTTTCTCCGCAGATCGTAACCACGCTCTGCTACCAATTTTTTGTGAGGTTTTACAAGTGAAATTTAGATTAATCAAGCCTTACACCTTGATTGCGGGTTTTAGCAGAGTTTTCCAAATTCAAGGATTTCAGATTGTAGCTGAATAAATCAAAACACGGCAATTGGCCGGGCGCAAACCAACCGGGATTTCTCCCTACTAGCGCAGACCTTTCTTTGATACACACACACACAAAGTTAATTACACACACAGTTCCTACAGAAAATAAGGTATACACACTCAGACACACAAGAATCACAGCAATCAAAACAATCGGAGTTGTAGGATTTCAAGTGGTCCAGAAGTGGACTTGAGTTCCTTTACAATTAAGGTTTCGTAACCAATTCAAGTTCCCAATCTGATAAGGTATTCGTACGTGGTTTTAAAGGGATAAATTAAGACAGACAAGTTCCGTTCTTCACAAAAGTGGGTTGAAACCGAGGGAGAAGCAAAGTACCAAAGCTTTTGATTTCACGATGTTTCAAAATCACTCTGATAGCTGAGAATTTTCTAAGTACCAAAATTTCAATTTTAAGAACACAACTTCAGCAGTTTGACCTTCTAAACTTGACTGTGTCTGTTACCCAATTTTCTGGGGTTTATATACGAATTTTGCACCAATTTTGGTGGGTCTTCCTTGTTTGCGCAGATTTGAAAACACCAGGTGGTAACATCTGCTGTTTTTGTAAAGGTTTCATAAATGTGTATTTTTCCCGAAAACCGGGTGGACGTTTTACAATCTTTCAACCGTTCGTTAAATTAGTTTTCTGCTGGAAAACATGGTTTTTGACAGTTTGCGAAGCTGTTAAAACTATAAAGTTGCCAGTTGAGCATTTCTAAACTCAAATTTTTGACAGCTCGAGAAGTCCCGAATTTGGGAGACAAATTGTTTTACGATATAGGAGACGAGATTTTTTGTCTCTTCCTTGACAGCTGGTTTGTGTTTTTGCAAAGTCTTGAGGGGTTGAATGACCCCAAGTTTTTCAGAGGAGTCAATGTCCCCCTGTCAAAGAGGAGGCGCTGACTTTTTTGGCGATTTGTTTTATCCCGTTTCCGGGGATCGCTCTCCTTTTCTGGCCTAGAGGGCTTTTGTTCTGCCAATTTGTTTCGCGTTTTATTTCAGGACACCCCTTTTGTAGGAATCAGTTTATCTTTTGTTTGTGTCAGCGCATCCTGGTGATGCGCCGATTGGATTACAGTTTTGGCTCCAATTTGGCGCCTTGTCTCACAGAGGGATGGCGAGAAAATTCCGCACATCTGAACCGCCTGTTAGCAACACAGTCAGACAATCTTTAGTCATCTATTATTTTTCTTTTAAGAGTGATGTTATTTAATTTCTTGTGAACATTATGGACTGAAGAATTTGCATTGCTATAAAATGGTTAGAACAGATAGTCAATCTTCTAATTCCATGGAATATATATGGGGTATGGAGTACCCCATGGAATAATTCAATGGATTGCCAAGATTGACCAAATACAGCCGCAAAATGAATATTAAATTCATAACCGACATTCTTTGTGACTTGATTGTACCAATAAGGTAACCTCACAGTGGTAATCCTTCTCCGTTTTTTTCAGGATCATGAATGTACTGAGTGTTAGACAAGTCCTCTTACTTAATTTATGAGCTAACTTCACAGACCTCACATGTACTGTACAGCAGTATAGCTTGCATGAACAAGACATTTTTCACATCGAATATGTTCAATGCCTCTATGGTACTTTTCCCCTTCAGAATTCATGGGGAAACTGTGTTCTGAGTTCTGGACATTCCAAGATCCAGAGACAAAGGTGAAAAAGAATTGGATCTCTGATTGTGGGATCCATCACAGGAGCAAAGCGTTCGGCGGAAAACAATTCTAAAGGCATTTCTTATCTTAGAAATAATTTTCGCCTCTCAGAAGAACAAAATATTCACTTTGGAATGTGTTTCTCGCAACAGAGAAGCAAAATATCCCGTCCTTTCTTCAAGCAACTAATGCAACACCTCGCCACTTTTCCCTTTCCATGTTTCGGTTGGTGAAACTTTATCAAAAAAATTTCCCTGTCATGCATTTTTGAAATTGACTTTTGAAGTTTCCATTCCGATTTTCGCAGAAACTAAGTTTTAACCTATAGTGAGGATCAGAAATGTTGCGTCGAATTCTATTCGGTAAAGAGAAAGCTAAATTTGAGTGTCAGGTAATAAATAAGTTCTAACGAACAAAATGTGTCGCACGTCAGCCTTGAGAAAATCAGCACGTGGCTGACTCAGCTCAAGTACTAAATTTGCTGAAGTACTATGATGCTTTCGCTATGTCTATGCGCACAAGCTTCATTTTTTCAGCGTTCCTACGCAGTTCTACGTTGTGCGTTGACGAACTAACATCGTCTTGAACCAAAATCGACTGAGTTGGAATAAAAAAAAACTTGCCTTATTGGTGGAAAGCCTTCAGGTATTCAGGAGACAACAATATCTGCAACATCAGAAGGGTGAGCCTACTATAATCAAATGAATTTCATTTGGATACATTAGGGAGACCCACAAATGAATACTTTTTCTTGGATACGCGGATTTAATTTTTGAAGGTTCTGTATTGCGTCATATAATTTTCAAGTTTTGAAATATGCTCATGAAATTATTTCCAGAGTCCAAGAGCATCATGTTGGACGTACAAGGGTGGTGCAATATCATCCTCCTGCTTCTGTTGATGACACCTGGCTCAAAATGCAACTTATTTCATGATTACGGGGTTTTCTCTGGCGATTCCGAAAAGGAGCCGAGTCTTCAAAAGAATCTTCCTTCTCAAAGGGATGAGCATGAACATTCAGGTAATTTAGCTGAAAATGATGTAATTTGAAGCTAGACGGCATTGACACCCGAATATATTTCAATTCTTCGCCGTATTCGAAGGTTGGATCTTGGAACGCACAATGAGAATTAATCCCCGGAACTTTTTTTTTTAAACGCCTATAAACCGAGTAAAAATTGGATTATTCGAGGTGATGACGTGGAGCTTTGAAAAATTTTGAAATTGACGACATTTTCAAGCATTCAAGTCAATGTTTAAAAGTTCATGACATGAAGACATGAAATAAATTGATGAGTTTCTCATACGTGTCATCAGGATTCATTGAGTAGGGTTTGATAAAGCTTTTTTTTCGAGAATAATCAAGTAGCTTTCATTTCAAAATTATCATGATATCCTCCATCGAATTTCAACTCATTCGAGGCTAGCACTTAATTGCACCATTGACAAATGCAGATACATTTGGTTTACTCTTTCTGTTTTGCTGATATCTGATACTAATCACGTTGAATTTAACTGCTTCAAACATGAAAAATTTATCTTCAAGTGCGATAAATGTCGATATTATGCACACAAAAAAACTTCGGTAATTACATTTTCCAGGACGGCATAGTATTGTTGAATCTTAAATTGAACGAATCAGGTATTGACTCGTACATTTTTACATTAACACAATTTTACATTAGAATTATCCAAGTTCCATTACTTGTCCGCTATTTTCAAGAAAAATGAATAAAATGATGTATAGTATTAATTATAATTCTTTCAGTGCGTGACTACAGTGCATTTAATGAAAAAAATAAAAATTCCGATTTTCTCCACAACAATCCACTATACAGCACTTTTGAAACAGATCAGTAACATTTTGCGTTCAAGGAGTATTGAAATTCTGTCAATTCCATAATTTTTTGAACTTGAATGAAATATATTTTAAAGGATAGGGAATTCATTTGGATACTTCTGAAAAAGGAAAAAGTATTCATTTGTTTTAAATTTACGCTAAAGTGTAGAGAAGGAACTTAAGGAAGTGATATATTCTTCTTGTGAAGTTAATTTCATTTGATGTCACTGAAAATTCTTAAAATGTACTACTGTAATATATATTACTGGTATGTTTCAATGCGGGCCTACGGTATAGATGCCTGAACATGGCATCAGTTTGACTTATGAACGCTATCAACTCAAGATATCTGCTTAAATGCCAGTCAGTGACAAAAGATTTGGGCACTGTTCAAACTTTTCCAAAAAGATGATTATAAGGAACCCAAAATCTGAGCAGTTAATCTTTTGAAAATACAAACATGCGTGTTGGAGAATGTTCTTGTTTTCTGGATTTCCTCCATCAACTCCATACTGTACCTTGATAAGATGCAGTTTCATATTTCGAGGTTAGATTGATACCATAAAGATATTTCGGTTTGGTTTTCTTTTGAAGTTATTGTCTGCATTTCGAAGTCAGAAAATTGTTACTAATGGATTTATAACCCTCTCACACTTTTTCCAGATGTGAGAAATGATTAAAAATTCCATCTAAAATTAACACAAAAATATGATCCAGCACGCAGATGTTCCAATAATAATAGACTCCGCCTGTAAAGTACTTACATGTGCATATCATTGAGACATCATCCAAATGAAAGATGACTATGTAGTTGATTCATCCTTGGAATAAAATTCCCACAGAAAAAATTGCCATTTAGAGTGATGTACAGTACTCTACCATGGTACTTCAAATTTTTACTTCTCTGGAAAAATATTTTTGAAACATGAGATTTTCCTAAATGCAAAAATAACTCAAAACTGCTCAGAAACTCACCAAAAAACAGTATCTCTCTGTTGTTGGGATGTACCATTTCATACCTAGTCTCAATAAACTGAGCTATTTGGTCATTTTTTCTAAAACCTCTGATAGAAATCAATAACAATGAATCGCAGTTTCGTTGATTCAGGTTTCTTGTAGAACAGTTTTGAGTAATTTGGGTGTGCATTTCATGCAATTCCAAATCAATCCAGTCGCATTGCAGCATTTAATCATCAAGGCTGCTCCCTTTGACAATTTTCAGAGACCTTTGGCAATTTTTTTATATATAATCAACAGATTGTTTTTGAATTTTTTCTTCCACTGTCAATAGTCCTCTAATCACTATTTTGATTTAAAATTACATCAGAAATAAAGATGCCGGTCATTTGTATTCTTCCATCTGTCACTTAGCTCTCACCTGAAACGCAGAATAAAAATCAAGATGACAAATTTTGATTGCAAAAATTACAAAAGTCCCCAACTAGCAATAAGGTAAATAAATATGAAGAAGGGACTAAACTTGTTCAATGCTGAAGCAGATAGCATCATGAAGATTTGCAATTGAATGAATTTCCTTTGATTCTTTTGAACTTTCCATTAATGTTGGCTTCATAGTTTTTGTTTTGTTTCGCTCTTGTGCATTGATGAACTTCTTTAACTAAATACAGTAATGCATTCATTATTTCTTCAACAGGTGAAAGAATCAAACGACAAACATCTTGTACTCCAGCCCAGGTGCCTGGCAGCCTTTATGCCAAAACACTTTCAATGTACGGATCTGAAATAATGGAATTTACAGACAGCAATTTGTCACATCCTAACATTACCACCATAAAGTGCATTTCTTCTGGAGCCCGTTTCTCACAGGTAATTACTGCACAAAAAGTGAATACTACAACAAATAAGGCGTATTTCATCTCCCCTGCTTTCAATGATGCATCAAATCAAACAATCAAAGTTCAAATTGTTTACAATGACAGCTCTTGCGTGGAACACACATTCAACCATGCCATAGTTCCAGAGCCAATTGAGTTTCTACAGATTGCATTCAGCTCTGGGTGGTGCAATGTCACTTGGAATGCAACATCAATCACAGGATCATTGGTGAATGTTTACTTGCACACAAATGGGTCTTTTGACAGTCCTAGCATTATATTAGCAAATCAAACGAATTCAGGAAATGTGAGTTTCATGACAGGAAACCTCACAAATTTGATTGACATCCCACTATCCATTTCCATTGGCCCAGTTGATCCTGATTGGACAGTTCCAAACAAACCATACAGACTTCTGGCCAATGTTGTGGACTTCCTTGCAAAATTCCCTTCATCGTTGGCCAGTCAGTGTACCACTGAATGGCTGAACAGGAATGATAGCAGCAACCTCAATGATGCATTGCCATGTCCTCAGACTGAGGCTCAAGCTCAAGCAGATTTTAGGTTTATCCACAGTACTGGTGGGGGATTTGAGTCCAGGCTATTTCCTAATTCAGCATCATGCTATGGCACAACCTTTCCTTCCCCAAATGGCACAATCCGAGGTTGCTGTTACTCAAATTCATCTCTGGTTTGTGGGACAGAAGGTGCACCTGGATTCTCACTGCAACCATGGGTTCAAAAGTCCTGGGATTTTCTTTTTCAAGAGATCATTCCTTTCTTGGCATGCACTGTAAGCAACCAAAGCACAGAACTAAAGGCAAGGTATTTCTCTGGAAGACCTTCAGACTGTGGTATAGACTACTCTGGATTAGCCAATGGGATAATTATTGGAGATCCACACTTTAAAACTTTAGAAAATACATGGTATACATTTGGTGGAATTGGAGAATACCACTTGCTGAAGACCATCGGTTTTCATAATGTCTATGTGAGATTGGGATTGTTGGACAATGTTTCCTACAGCTACATTGGTGTAAAAGGCATTGCAATCACCACCCCTGGAGGACAAAAAATCCAGGTAGACAAGTCAATGCTTGGATCCCTTCAAGTCCACCTGAATGATACACTGCAGACAGTGGAAAGTGATTTACATGTGGACAGTGCAACCAAAGTGAGGATTCACAGAAATGGGACAAGCAGTAATAACAGCACCAATGATGAACTGCTAATTTCCACTCCAAAAATTGGAGTGAAGATGTCAGTGATGGGTGACTCTTTGATGGTCAATGTAATGGTTGACAAGTCCTTGCAGAGAAATGGTCTGACAGGTCTCATGGGGAGTTTTGATGGGAACTTAAGCACACCAGACTTAAAGTCAGCCGCTGGAATCATTGTAGGGAACATTTCCAATCTATCAGAAGTGGACATTTCTTCAAGTACCTGGAGAGTTAATTCTACACACTCTCCATTCTACTATGAACCAGGAAGAAACTACAGTTATTACAACAATCTAACCTATGTACCAGTAACAACATATCCAACAGCTGGAATTGATGCAAATAGTTCATGTTCTGGAAACATATACTGTTTGTTTGACCTTGCTGCAAAGGGTGATCCAAAATTGGCAACTCATACATTGGAAGGGATAATGAAGTTCAATCAAATGGTTTTGACAATAAACAGCCAACTGCAGATGTGCAAAGCACCATCACCACCAATTAATGGATATGTGACATTTTCAACTCTTGTGGAAGGTATTGCTCAAGCTACATTTGCCTGCAACAGTGGATTCATCTTGACTGGGAATGCATTAGCATTGTGCTTGAATGGAACCTGGAATGGACAGATGGTAGAATGCAGATCAAATCAGTCAAACCTGACAACAAGCAATATAACCATTACATCCATGAACATGACAACAACTGCATCTATGAATGTAGCCACAACTAATGGAACAAATATAACAATTTCCATACTTCCAGTCAACACTACAACTCTCATCAACACAAACACCACCATGACTATCCAAACAAACAATGCTACAACACCTGCACAAGTCAACACCACCACAATTATTCCACTGATCAGTACTACAGTGCCAGCACAAGTCAACACCTCCACAACTATTCCATCAGTCAACACCTCCACAACTATTCCATCAGTCAACATCTCCACAAATATTCCATCAGTCAACACCTCCGCAACTACTCCATCAGTCAACACAACAACACCTGCACAATTCAACACAACAACACCTGCACAATTCAACACAACAACACCTGCACAAGTCAACACAACAATACCTGCACAAATCAACACTACAACTATTCTGCAAGTTAACACCACAACAACTATTCCACAAGTCAATACTACAATACCTGCACAATTAAACACCACCAACTCTACTATTCCACAAGTGAATACTTCAACACCTGCACAAGTCAACACCACCAACTCAACTATTCCACAAGTCCATACTACAACACCTGAACAAGTCAACAGCACAGTGACTATTCCACAAGTCAATATTTCAACACCTGCACAAGTCAACACCACCAACTCAACTATTCCACAAGTCAATACTACAACACCTCTGCACAAGTCAACAGCACAGTGACTATTCCACAAGTCAATATTTCAACACCTGCACAAGTCAACACCACCAACTCAACTATTCCACAAGTCAATACTACAACACCTGCACAAGTCAACATCACAACAACTATTCCTGAAGTCAATACCACAATACCTGCACAATTCAACACAACAACACCTGCACAAGTCAACACAACAACACCTGCACATGTCAACACAACAACACCTGCACAAGTCAACACAACAACACCTGCACAAGTCAACACAACAACACCTGCACAAGTCAACACTACAGCTATTCCACAAGTTAACAACACAACAACTAATCTACAAGTCAATAACACAATACCTGCACAAGTCAGCACCACAACAACTATTGCACAAGTCAATACTACAATACCTGCACAATTCAACACCACCAACTCAACTATTCCACAAGTCAATACTACAATACCTGCACAATTAAACACCACCAACTCAACTATTCCACAAGTCAATGCTTCAACACCTGCACAAGTCAACACCACCAACTCAACTATTCCACAAGTTAATACTTCAACTCCTGCACAAGTCAACATCACAACAACTATTCCTGAAGTCAATAACACAATACCTGCACAAGTCAACAGCACAGTGACTATTCCACAAGTCAATATTTCAACACCTGCACAAGTCAACACCACCAACTCAACTATTCCACAAGTCAATACTACAACACCTGCACAAGTCAACATCACAACTATTCCTGAAGTCAATACCACAATACCTGTACAAGTCAGCAACACAACAAATATTCCACAAGTCATTACTACAACACCTGCACAAGTCAATACTACAACACCTGCACAAGTCAATACTACAACAGCTATTCCACAAGTTAACACCACAACTATTCCCCAAGTCAACACCACAACTATTCAACAAGTCAACACTACAACTATTTCACAAGTCAACACTACAACTATTCCTGGAGTCAACACTACAACTATTCCACAAGTCAACACTACAACTATTCCCCGAGTCAACACTACAACTATTCCACAAGTCAACACTACAACTATTTCCCAAGTCAACACTACAACTATTCCCCAAGTCAACACTACAACTATTCCACAAGTCAACACTACAACTATTCCCCAAGTCAACACTACAACTATTCCCCAAGTCAACACTACAACTATTCCACAAGTCAACACTACAACTCTTCCCCAAGTCAACACTACAACTATTCCACAAGTCAATACTACAACACCTACTGTGCAAGTGAACACCACCACAACTGTTCTTCAAGTCAACACCAGCACAACTATTCCACAAGGGAACACCACCACAGCTGTTCCACAAGTCAACATCACCACAACTATTCCAACAGTGATTACAACATCATCAGTCCAAGGCAACATCAGCACTACTATTCCACCAGTCAATGCTACAACACCTGCACAATTGAACACCACCACAACTACCCAAACTGGAAATAGTACAGCATCTGCACAAGTCAGCACTATCACTAGTGTGCAACCAGCCAATACAACATCATCTGCTGTACAAGTGAACTCCTCTACAACTACCCAAGGAGTTGCCACTAGCAATGCAACATCCCAACAAATCATCAGCACTACAACCCCCCAACCAATCAATATGACTACAAATATCATTCTGGGTAACACAACTGTAACACTACAATTCAACACCACAAATAATACACAATCAGGAAGTACTACAAGTACATCAATATCAAATACTGCCAATGCCAAATCATCTACAAGCCCAATAACTGTACTAGTCAATACCACAACATCCAACATTGCTGGGAATGTTTCTACTACGTTGGATGTGAATCCCACCACAACAGTTGGAACTTCTACATCTATGTCCAGCATTGAAGGGAAGATAACATCCATCTCCACCTCAACCGCCTCATTAGCTCCCAGCACAACATCACAAGCAAGCAGTACCACTCTTCCAGCTCTTACAACCCAAATTTCTCCAACTTGTACAGTGACTGGAGTGAAGGGAAGAATCAGCCCAAGAGAAATCACAGTTTATGGATCAGGCCTGTTGTTTATATATGATGATAGGACTCTGAAGAGTTCAACTTTCAATCGCACTACCTGTGTCATTCATTACGGACGTTTCGTAAAGGAAGTTACAGGCACACATTTGGCATCATCTGGTAATGCATCTTATTACATCATACCTTCATTGACTGCAGCTGGTCGCCTACCTTTTACTCTCAAGATATTTTATAATGGCTTGACATGTGAGCAATATGACTTCAATATTGATGTGCTCAGGAGCCCAACAGAGTTTGCAAGCATTGAAACTACCAATGTCCAAGGTAAATTCCAGCTGAAATGGACACAGGCCTCATTAACACAGGGAACTGTTTCAATTGCTTATCACCTCAGCAAGTCCTTTGACATTAAGAATGTACTGCTGGCTTCCATAACAAATAATGGATCTGTGGAAGTTAGCAACCTGAAGTCGAAACCAGACATTCCCCTGACACTGTCAATAACCACATTGGCACCATTGAGTGAGTCTTCCTATCGCACAACATTATTTGTCAAGATAGAAGAGTTCCTGAAAGTTTACCGCATGATTTTGACTGGATTCTGCGATGATTCATGGTTTCAAACTGGGAAAAATAAAACCAATGACATTACTGATTGCCCACCCAGAGGATCACAAGCTGACCGGGATCCAAGATTCTCACGGAATGAGGCCATCCGTAGCATGTATTTTCCTGGCATGACAGCATGTCACACCTCCCTGTTCCCATCCCCCAGTGGGGTTGTGCAAATGTGTTGCTATTATGAAAATAATCTGGTCTGTGGTTCAGAAGGGGCCCCTCCGTTCGTGTCAAGCACATCTTCCAATCCATGGGATCACATCCTGGACGATTTGTTACCCTTGAATGCTTGCTACTTTGGTGATGATCGCAAGAAGCGCAGAAGATTCTTGTCCAAGAGACCCTCATCATGTGGAAGGGATTATGTGAGGATGGTGGTTGGGAACTCTTTCGGTGATCCTCATTTTGCTACTTTGGATGGACTCCAGACCTACACCTTCAATGGGCTTGGGGAGTTTCACTTGGCCAAATCAAATGACAATAGCCTGTGCAGTGTTTCAGTTCGCCTGGAGCCAGTGAGTGCAGTCATCAAAGCCACTGTCATCACAGCAGTTGGCATGAGGTGTGGAACTGGACCACGGATCCACGTGGAGCCCATCGATGCCTCGTTCCCATTGCAAGTCAGAGTGAATGACCAAGTCGTCACATTCTCTGGCAATTCTCAAGCTGTTGATGCCAATGTCATGCTGCTGATGGACAATGCAAGCATCAGCGACTCTGCCGTAATTATTGTTGCAAACGACTTGGGGATCCGGATTTCCACAAAGCTCTCAGCCATGCAAACTACAATCATAGCTGGACCAAGCACCTACTACAACAAACTGGATGGCCTCATTGGGAAGTTTGATGGGAACTCAAATAATGACCTGGTACTTCCCAATGGAACATTGCTGTATGCAAATTCCGACCTGCGTGATTTGCATAACTTTGGCCTCCAATGGAGAGTGCCAAAAGGTGATTCACCATTTTATTATACTGGAAGCGTAACTTACGAGAGCCTGAATAACAACACATTCACTCCTATTCTCCAACGTCCAACAGTGAATGATACTGTGAAAGAATGGTGCAAGAATAACTTGCAATGTTTGTTTGATTATGACGCCACTGGGAATCTTGAATTTGCCAAAAACACGTTGTATCAGGAAGAAACGTTCCTGGCCAGAAGGAATGAACTGAGTGTGAAAACTGAAATTTGCCTTGAGCCCCCAGTTCCGCCAAATGGTTATGCCACTTACAACACACTAGTAGCTGCAAATGCAACTGTAACATTTGGCTGTGAGGATGGATACAGTCTCAGAAGCGATACCACGATTTCTTGCAATGCCAGCTCGCAATGGGTGGGCATTGTTCCATCGTGCACCCCAGCAGCCAATTTATCCATAATTGACCAGATCCTTGAGAAGAAGAACAACAAGATGACGAATATTTGGTCCTGGATCCGAGGGGTCTTTGGGGGTTGATCACATTGATTCATTGTGGTTTTTGAACTTCCTGCTCGATGTGTTGTTCAAGAAGTGTGTAATCATATAGCGTACGTGTGAATATCACGTCTGCCTACAAGACAATGGCGCGGTTTATTTCTGAGTCACTGATTTTGACTGTGTCTTATCACAGTAAAGCCTTCATCCAAAGTGCAATGATAATATTCCATGAAAATCTTTACGATTTCTTTCAACTTCCGTTACAAATATTGATCATATGCCAAAAGCTTCTGATATGTCAACAAAACGGAAAATAAAATAATCAACATAGTTTGCCTTGCTCCACGCTATTATACTGACTGACAGAAAAATTTGGTATAATGCACTCAAAGATATTGGAGTAAATATCGGTAACCTTGTCGAATCATTTCCGTAAATTCCGAAGCTTGAAGTATACATTTTCAAAAAAGTGCTGCTCTATTTTACATATACTGTATTATACATCATTATCAAGACCGAATGATGACTGTATTCCACCAGAAATCGGTGCACGGCGGTTTGATGGTTATACTAGAGGTGTTGGAAAATGCACGTGGCTCTCAAAGAAAATACTTCGTGGATTTTATGTATTGTTCCCAAAGGATCTGAATTTCAAGTAAACCGTTCCGCAGTGAATGCCTCTCCTCCACGCGGAATTGGGTTGAGATTATTTTGAATAAAGCTATAAAATGGTGAGAGAATATTGACCGTGATGGTACGCAAATGGAAACTTTGAGTCAGGTACAAATTCAGGAACTACTTTGTGGATTTTAAATAATTGAAATGAATTCATTCCGCAAAGAATGGGACGCCTATCAGCATCAAGTGAATTTTGTGGACTGAGAACACGACAAAATGAGCATAATTCATTGTTCAACTCTTGACGAAGATAAATTTAAATGAGTTTAGAGGGGAAATGTATATGATCCACCACAATGACATTTTTTCAAAAGTCCCCAGCTTATTGGTCAAGAATTAACGAAATAACGTAGAGGGATTTAAAATGTCCTGTGCAATTTTGAAGAAATATGCAATGCAAAAATTCGAAATAAACCGGAATGCATCTTCAGCAGCCTCCGCTGCCATATTGCTCCGGACTTCGGCCTTTTTTTTTAGTAAGTTACTGTGCTTAGATCTTTTGAATTCTGACGATAGGAAGCATACAGTGCGTCTGTACGTAAAAGCAAAAGTAATTTGGATTTGCTCATCCAAAAGTCCGATCTTGTGCGTTTTCTCCCTGAAAATTTTGGCATCACTTCTTATGAGAATCACTAGTATAGTGGGGTCACCTATTTACTTGACTGAAGTGATTTAGTTTATCATTTCAGTTGCGGAGGGCAGATGTCGCTCGTACGTTCAACAAATTTTCAACAAATTTCATGCATCTCCCTAATTTTTGGTTTGGACCAGCAAAATTCCATAAACGTTTCGAAGACCAGCATATATTTTCCGAATATACTTGCCATATAGTCCTCCAACCAAGACTTGCATTGCAAAAATTAAAAACCAATGAAGCAGGTATATGGAATATTGTTGATTGAATTATTTTTGCTTAAGAAATGCGTGGAAATGTGCGCAATGCAGAAATATTGTTCAAGTGCTTGAACTGCTGTTGCTGTAAAATTTTCATCGAAAAATCTTTTGGTCCATTTAAAATGAAAATCTATGAAACTGACGTCAAATTCACTTGACAGGATTGAATTTGATGATACTGTTTATGCAACGCATTAGGAAATTATTCAGTACCTGTCTTTTCCTACGGATGATTTTTCCAGAACAAATCTTTGAAATGCTCCTCTGCCCTCAATCTGTATGATGTCCAATGAAATTTGAAGCAGCTTGATGAGTGTTGACCAACTCAGTCTCGGCCCGTGGCCAGATTGATGATTTGTTTCTGGCTGAGGGCCAAATATATTGCAGAGGTGTTATTGGAGGCTCCTTGTGAGACACAACAGATTATTCTTAAAATCTTGTATTTGACAGATGAAAAAAAGATAGCTGTAGTAATGCAAACATTCATCCAAATACAGCAAACTATATAATGTGAAAATTGATGGTGATGAAGAGAGAAACTGCTGGACAAAGGAAGAGCTGGTAAGCGCAATTGTAAAATCTCATGACAAGGAGCAGAGAGGCTTTTGCTTTTGTTCTTTGTCTTGATGGGCTTTCTTATCCAGCATAGATCCTTTTTGTAATTAGCTCATCCTTCATGCTTTTCTTAGTTGATATAATCCCAACAATTCCTTGTTATTTTTCTCAAATACTGCATTTATTCAAAATGTGTCCATTGACAATTTATTTCCTAAAGACTCACAATTTCCTCCTCAAAATTAAATTTTAAAAATTCGATACATCGCTATTCATCGAATCACAAACATAGCATCATATGATTTTTGCATGGTGGACCAAGATTTTGAAAACTTGAAATTCAGGTTTAGATCTAATAAATAGTGGCTGCTGACCCTTAAAATTTGTGGGGAATGGACCCCCGAATGTTGGGCGGCAGTGGTCTATACTCTGCAGCATTTCAAGCATTTATTTTTCCTCTCTGAAAATCGTGCAGTCCCTCATGTACCGATTATCACGAAGGTGGAGGAAGAAGGAACGAAACAAGAAGAAAAAAAACGATTGTTTTTGGCTTTTATGTGTTCACTGTTGAGTGAGTCAAAGAAGCCGTGGAGCAGAGAAACGCGAGAGTGTAATTAAATCGTAAAACCATCAGCGGGAAGAAGAAGGAGCTGCGATGAGTATTGATCGAGTACTGTACCAGGTCGAAAAGAAAACAAAAAACAAAACAAAAAGACGGGCAAACTTTGGATTGCATATGATGATGATGGTTTATTGGTGCCGATGCCATCAGCAGTAGGCATCTTTCATTTCATCTGCTTTCGGTGCAAAATGAGATACAAATCCGAATACGGTGCCTACTTTTCTGGCAGACGGGATTTCAGTCCCCGTGAGCTCGTTTTCACGGCTCCGGATCAGGTGGAATGCGGGGCGGCAATCCGAGGCGGTGGCGTTCCGATTGGCGGCAGCTGGAGAATGCTGTGTGTGACGGACTGCCGCCTTCCTCATGGCTTTGCTGCTGCCCTTTCTTCCGCAAAATGCAGACCCGCCGCCGCTCTCGTTTCTGCGTGTCGACCGTCCATTCATCCTTCTGCGCTACTGGCACGCATAAATTACACACACCGCCTTTTCATCGCAATATCTTCTTAATCTGCTGCTTGCTCCTTATCTCCAATGCCTCAGAATACCTTTCTGACGTCACGTAGTTTTCCACGAGGGATGGTTCATAAAATGTGATGCTTTTCGAAATAGACCCAAGGGAGTTTCAACAATTGAAAAAAAAAAGTAAAATTCGTCGCATAGCCTCACTATTTGGCAATAATTCAGTGCTGTTCAACGTACATTTCAACGTCCATTTCAATGCATTTTTTTCATGGGATAAATCTAAAAATCAAAACAGGGACAAGAGTCGAGTTTCAGTGTTCTGCTCATTGGATTCTCAGCAGTCGAGTTCTGTTTGTTGGTTTGGCGCCTTATGACTTATGGCAGTTCCCAATAGTGAATAACGACATGAACTGAATTTATTTCGAGTAAAGGAATAGCCAGCCACATTTCCGCGGTCAAAGAACAGCTTATTAACAACTAAACCGGAACTCGATTTTCCGCACTGATATGATTATTGGATTTATTCCATAAAAGGGTATCAAAACGAAGAACAGCGTGTTTAGCAGCACTGAAGTGTTGCCAAATAATGGGTATATGCGAGTAAAATTATTCTAATAATTTGTTTTGGAATTGTTGAAAACTTGTGGGATGTACAGTATTCCAAAATGTATCCTCAAAACTTATGAACTAGCCCTCGTATATCCTTCTTCTTTCTCATTTCTGACCTGGTTTTGAATGACCATCAGGTCTCTTCTTGTCTGTTATGAAAAGCACTGCGATCTCTCTTCTGGACCCAGTCTGTATAGTGTCAATGGGTAGTGTCCCCCCCCCCTCCCCCCTTTGGGTCGGTTTGTTAACTGGCTGGTCCACTAACTATAATTACAGGTAATTTTTCTCCTTAGAGTCCGTACTAAATGCTTGCTCTGAGTACTGGACAAAAAAAGGGTCAAGTCTGAACCGTTTGGGATTCTTCCACGCCAAGACACATGATTATAAATGTGACTGAGGCTGCAACAGATGCACTCATAAATAGCCATGTTGCGCTGGTGGACCTTTCACATGTCATTGCAACGGTCTGGTCAAGTTAGGAATTTCTTCTGACCAGGGAATATTTAAAGGTTGGAGAAACGTTTGTCTGGATGGAATAGATCCGCCGGTTCATCAATAACATTAGGTCAATTAGCAGATTCCGTGTCACGAAATCTTGTGGACGGTATCCGAGTTCTTGGTGTTTTGTCATCATGGCCTCGTACTTGAGAATTTTGATGAAGTCAACAGATATGACGTCATCCAGAAATAAGGCTTTCTTTAAGACGACAACGACTGTTGCTGAAGCCTTTGAGACATTTGGAACCCAAAGAAGTTGTACACAATCACTCAATTATTGCTTCAGGTTAAAATTAGAGTTAGGAATTCCAAACCCGTTGCTTTTTGTTATTGACAAGTGGATTTGAGCTTTCGCCCAATAACCACTGATAAGAATTGATTTTTATCTTTTAGCTCGGAAAAAATTCGAGGATCCAAAGTTTTCAGGAAAACCAGGTTCATTCCAATCCCAAGCTGACTTATGATAACAATATATAGTCAAACCTCTTGAGTCAAATTTCAGTGGAATAGCAAAAAAAAATAAGTAGGTTCTGACTTCTGAGTTACGAACCAGCCCTTTTATTTTTGTGGCAATGAGAAAAGGATGAAAGTAAATTTTATTCAATGACTTGCTTGGCCTTGAATTGCTTTCTAAAAAATAAGTTGACAGGTTGACAATAAAGAAGTAGGAAACAAAGGGTTCAATTGTCCAATGAGCCTTTGCCGTCTTAATTTTTTATCGA